CTGAATCCAAAAATGGACTCAGAATGGACCTGGGACCAATATTTCATCAAAATTTCCGAAATTTTTTTATTTTATGCAATTTTAGGTATTATATCGGGGTCTTGAGGCTTAAAGCTTCAAAAATGTTATATTCAATATTAGTACTTAAGCTAAGTCCGAATAATAACTCATAGGGGACCTGAGACCAATATTTCAAGAAAAAAAAATTCCGAACAAAATTTCAGACCTATTTTACTACAAAATTGTACGTCATCTAAAAATTTTCCAAAATTTTATCCACATTGGGGGTGCTTGTCTTGACTATTGAAAAATTTTGCTAGCCAAGAGGAGAACCTCACATATTAGAAAAATCTTGATGTGAAATGAAATTTCGTTGAATATTTGGTTTAAAATTTTTGTGCTGAAATTTTTAGGAAATATTTGACCTAGCTCAATTCTGAAAGCATTTTCGGATACATCATAGATTTTAGTCTTAAAAGACAAATTCCAGTTTTCCTCAGCCTTTAGATCCCGAAATAATAGTACAAATTGTTTAAAATAAAACAATTTCGGGAATTTTGATGAAACAATGGTCATAGGACCAATCTGAGTCCATTTTCGGATACAGCATGGAAATTTACCAGAAAGGTGGGTTTCCAGCCAGATTCGGCCAATAGTTTTCGAGATTAAAGCAAACAAAAAATAAATTTGAAATTTTGTTGTAGTATGGGTCCTACCTCCAACATTCATCAAAATTTCAGATTTTCTTTTATTTTTGCTTCAAACTCGGGAAAACCCCATGCTGAATCCAAAAATGCAATCAGAATGGACCAGGGAGAATTCCATTCCATTCCGAGTCCATTTTCTGATTCAGCATGGGAATTTACCAGTAAGGTAAGGTTCCAGCCAGATTCGCCAGTGAATTTACGAAAAAAATTCAGAACGATTTTTGTACGAAATTTAATTTTATCTCATAATTTTCTGAAATTTGCTCTATATTTAATGGTTCTTGTCTTGTCTATAGCCAAGGCAAGAACAGAACTATATCTGATCTAGAACTGAAGAGAATTGATTTAAAACTGAAGTAGAATAGTTTCAGATTTTGAACTGAATAAAAGACTAAAAATTTTGTTTATTTGTATCTTTATTTCATATTGTTTTATAATATTTTTCCTTTTTTATACAAGCATTTCAGTAACCGATGCCCTAGGCAAACCATATACAGGCAGACGCAATGGCTCGGGCAGTATAGCCTCTATGATCACCATGGTCTTTAGTGTTTTCAATGGAATCACTGTAGCATACACGTTTAGCTTTAAGATCTAGTTTAAAAAAAACCTTTACCAGGACCAGAAAATACCTTGGATATACAAAATCCCGCCTACTCGAGGTCGGATACAAATACATAGCACGGTCGTTAAGAGGAGGGAGCTGCAGGGAAAAAGGAATATTAATTTAGATTTATTTATTGTTTGTTTTGCATATATTGCAATTTCAATTTAAAAATGGTTAGACTATACTTATTGTATTTACTTATTATATTTCAGCCTTAAAGTAAACTTTACTTTTTCTTTTTGTTTACAAACCATTGAATTTCTCACACCTAGATGGCGTTTAATAAAAAAATAAACAAAATTTTATTTAATTACATATTTTTAATTTAAATATTTTTTTTTTATTTTTATTTCAAAATTTTTTAACTTACAATACTAAAAATTTATTAAATAATTGTTTTATTTTTGTAATATATTTTTGTTATATTTTTTATACATTAATGTATAGTTAATACTTTTAATTATTGTTTAAGTACGTTTTGTCTATATAACATGATAAAAGAATTTTAACAAATATTATGTTTGTAAAAGGAATTATTTGTTGTTGAGTGTTTGAAAGTGCTTGATTGATTGCTTTTATGTTATCAATGACAATATGATGGAAAATTAAAATTTTCTATTTAATGATGAAAAATTAAGTAAAACTTAAGTTTGTTTTGGCAACAATGAGCGATTTTTATTCGTTTGTTCATGGAAGTAATGAATTGATGAGGTTTTTTTGTATGTGTACATCTGGAAGTTTATAAATTTATCTTAATGTTAGAAATAAAATGATATGCTAAAAATATCTAATTATTTAATTTAATAATGTTATGTTGTTAATTTAAAATAGTTGGAATTACCAAATAATTATGTATTGAAAACATGTTACAAATTTATTATTTAATTTTTTATATGTATGATTGTTAAAATGTTGTAGTTAATAAATTTAATGGACGATTTTTGATGATTTGAAATTTTATGTTTTTGTTTGAAATATTTTTTTTTGTGTTTACAAGTTTACTACATTTTTTTGTTTTCAATTCCAAAATATTTAATGTTGTTTTATACTGCTACGTTATATTTAAGTATAAATACATATTTCAAAATTTTTATATAAAATGAAATTGACTAATATATTTATTATTTACATTATTAATTAGTTTTTTTGTGTTTTATTTTCCTTTAAATACTTTTTCCCTTTTTTAGTTTCCAATATACTATATTTTTATAAATTTCAATAATATTTTAAATTCATACCCAACGAATTTCAGTCTTTGTCGGTGTCTCTTTTTCAGTGAAAATATGAAATTATTTAAAAAAAAAAATCAATTCTTAAATAAATTAAATGAAATAAATCTTTGTTAGTGGAAATATTTTTTGACATAGAAATTATTTAAAAAATCAATTGATATATAAATCTGTTAATTGAACAGTGAATAACATAATCTACAGACCTGTCTATAGACCAGTGCATAGATAAGTCTATAGACCATAGATTAGTCTATAAACCAGTCTATAGATTACTTTATAGAGCACTATATAGACGAGTCTATAGATTAGTCTATAGACGAGTCTATAGATTAGTCTTTAGACGAGCCTATAGATTAGTCTATAGACTCGTCTATAGATTAGTCTATAGACGAGTCTATATACCAGTCTTTAGACGAGTCTATACATTAGTCTATAGACCAGTCTACAGATAAGTCTATAGGCGAGTCTATAGATTAGTCTATAGACCAGTCTACAGATAAGTCTATAGGCGAGTCTATAGATTAGTCTATAGATTAGTCTGTAGACTAGTCTATAGACCAGTCTATGATTAGTCTAGAGACCAGTCTATTGATTATTCTATAAATATTATTCTATAAAATAGTTCACACGAGTCTATAGATTAGTCTATATTATATCATTGAAAAGTGTTATAAATCTGTTCATTGAACAGCCTACGGATCAGCCTATAGAACAGCCTATAGACCATCCTATAGATTAGTCTATAAACCGGTCTATATATAAGATTACTTATAGATTACTCTATATACGAGTCTTCTATTAGTCTATAGATTGGTCTGTAGACCGTCTATAAATTAGTCTATAGACGAGTCTATAGACCAGTCTATATGTATATTAGTAAATAGAAGACTCTATAGACGAGTCTATAGATTAGTCTATAGACCAGTCTATAGATAAGTCTATAGACCAGTCTATAGATTAGTCTATAGACCATTCTATAGATTAGTCTATTGATTAGTCTATAGATTAGTCTATAGACCAGTCTATAGATTAGTCTATAGACCAGTCTATAGATTAGTCTATAGATTGGTTTATAGACAAGTCTATATATTAGTCTATAGACCAGTCAATAGAAGACTCTATAGACGAGTCTATAGACCTGTCTATAGATTAGTCTATAGACGAGTCTGTAGACCAGCCTATAAATTAGTCTATATAGATTATTCTATAGACCAGTCTATAGATTAGCCTAGAGACAAGTCTATTGATTATTCTATAAATTTTATTCTATAGAATAGTCCACACGAGTCTATAGATTAGTCTATATTATATCATTGAAAAGTGTTACAAATCTGTTCATTGAACAGCCAATAAAACAATCTACAGTTCAGCCTATAGAACAGTCTATAGACCAGCCTATAGATTAGTCTATAAACCAGTCTATAGATTACTTTACAGAACAGTATATAGATTACTTTATAGACGAGTCTATAGATTGGACTGTAGACCAGTCTATAAAGTAATCTATAGACGAGTCTATAGACCAGTCTATATATTAGTCTATATAAAACTCTATAGATTAGTCTATAGACCAGTCTATAGATTAGTCTATAGATTCTTCTATAGATTATATATAGATAAGTCTATAGACCAGTCCATAGATTAGTATATAGGCCAGTCTATAGATAAGTCTATAGACCAGTGTATAGATTTGTCTATAGATTAATATATAGTCTATAAATTAGTCTATGGAGAGTCTATAAATTAGCCTATATATTAATCTATAGTTTATAGACTAGTCTATACATTAGTCAATAGATCTGCCTACAGATCAGTTTATAAACCAGTCTATAGACTAGAATATAAATAAGTCTATAAATCTACAGACTCTATAGACCAAAAAAGATAGTAAATTAATAATTTTCTTCATATATAATAAAAATATAGCAAAATTAAAAACCTGAAATCATAAATAAATCAAATAATAAAAAATAAATTAAATAACAGAAAAAAAAAAATACACAAAATATTTTTATTTTAAATAAATCATTTTATTTTTCTAAAATTCTTAAAAATTCCAAAAAAGAAATTAAATCAAAAAGAAAAAAAAATATTACCAATTAATTCATAAGTTTTGTTTATAAATATATAATAATAATAATGTACAAATATAAAGTAAACATAGGTTTGTATATATAGCAAAATAATTATAATGGAAAATTAAATTAAAACTTTAATTTTAAATTTTACAAATAATTAATAAAAAATACGGCAAATAAATATGTTGGTTAAGGTAAAAATTATTAATGTTTTTGCTAAAAAAAAAGAAAACATTAAAGAAAATAAAATAATGGGTTAATAATTAAGTGTTTATAACTTAAACAATTTTGTTGTAATATATGTATATATATTAAAATATATACACCGTTAAGTTTTTTTTTTTAGTAAATAAACAAACAAATACACATACATATATAAAATATACAATTTATCTTAATAATTTTCTTGGTTAATGTTTTAAGTGCATAAATAATTTCATTTTTTTGTAATTTTACTGTTTTCTTTTTTTTTCATGTTTTAAGTCTTACAACCCTTTTTACTAATAATAATACTAAAAATGATTATTGTAAGTATTTTTAATAAACTAAAGAAAAGAAAAATACTTTTTGTTAATTTAGGGTTTTAATTTAACTCAATTTTTTACATACACTTAAGGTATAAATATTTATTTAAATATTTTAACTATTATCATTTTTTATACACTTTCGTTATTATTGTTTTTTGTTGTGATTAAATTGGCTTAATTTTAAATAAATAATTTTTAAAGTTTATAAATAATAATATAGTGTTTAATAATAAATATTAATTGTATACATAAACTTTTAACAGCTTGGCTTTCGTAGAGTATACCAGAATCAAGTAAATTTAAGGAATATGTTTTGTGGGTTAATTTTCCCTATATATATATTTTTTTTATTTGAAATAAATGTTTTTCGAATATTTTTTTCAAACAGCTTTTTTTTCATTAAACATTAAAAATAAAGTAATTTTTAACTGGATTTATCGCTTTATGCAGAATCAGGGAAACAAAAAATTTTTTTTGCAACAGGTTTTCTTATAGTGGCTGTTAATTGCAAACAATTATCTTAATTTTTTAGATTTTTTTTTATTTCTAATAATTTTTTATAATTGTTTTGCTGTTTGAAATTTTTTTGTTTAATTTTAATTAAATTTAATTTTTTTTATTAATTTTAGGGAATATTTTTAAGTATTTTTTTTTTAATGAAAATGTATTTTTGTTTAATTTTTAAAAATAAAAAGAGGAGGACTAGTTTATTTATAGACTTTTATGAAAGTTTTATTTTGTATATTTATTAAAAATTAAATTATTTTAAATATATATTATTTTATACACATGTGTTTTTGTATTATACATAATTACTTTTGGCATTATCGTTAAAAACATTTCAATAATTATTTTGTTTTTATTTTAATTTTGCACACATTTTTTAGTACTTTTTCTTCGACAAATTGAATATGTTAGTTCTATACAAAAGCTATAAAGATATTGCAGGGAAAAGGAAAAGAAAATAACTGGTTTTGGTTAACAATTCAGGATCTTTTGTTTAGCTTATAAACTTCATTTTGTTGTAATTAAAAAAAACAGATTCCAAGTTTGTTGTTTTAAACAGTTTGTTCTGATTTGATGAATTTTTAAATGACTCCCTACTTTCTAAAGTTTCGAAACATAAAATCCCTTATTTGAAAACCTAAATCATATTAAAAACAAACAAAGGAAAATAAAGAAAACACAACAACAAAAACTCTATAAAAATTATAATTTGTTTGTTTTTAAACAAGAAAAATCTATAAGAAAATAAAATTTCAACAACAATAACAAATAAATAATAAAGAAAAAAATAATTTCAAATAAATTCAGCAAAAAATCTTGAAAAAAAATAAACAAACACAAATTTTTGGTTTAGGTTTGTAAAAAAAAAAGATAGAAACTAAAAGGAGAGTGAAAAATGAAAGGAACATAGTAAAAATAACAGCAGGTGTTAGATAAAGAAAAAAATAATTATTTAACAAACTTAAAAATATAATAAAATTTCACAGATTGTAAATTAAAAAAAAAAAAAATAATCCGAAAATAAGAGGCGAAAACTAGGAAAGAACTTTAAACAAGCTGCCTTAAAAACAAAAGGTTATTGAGGAGGAGCATTTAACCAGCTGTATTAATTTGTGGACAATTAGTAGCACTCGTGGTTGTCTGAGTTGGGGTTATAGAACCAGTTGGCGTAGTCGTTGTAGTAGCCAATGCAGTAGCTGTCGATACTGTGGCTGCTGCAGTATTTAAATGGTGATGTAAGGAATTTGTAAAGGCCTGCACCGAACCTACAGGAGTTTGGCTTATGTTCGTGCTAGTGGAAGCTATATTACAGGCTGTTTGTTGCTGCTGCTGCTGCTGTTGTTGTTTTAATTTATCGAATATTTGTAATTTCGATTTTACCGCTCCCTCACACACCATCAGTCTAGCCTGAGAAGGCTTTTTGTCCAGTTCAAAACAGAAGGCTTCATAATCTGAATTAATAGCTGCATGACGTTTAAAATCGGAATAACGTCGTGCTTCATAGGATGACATATAGGATGAACCTAAAGCAGATGCTGCCACTGCAGCCGCCATTGAAGAGGATGATGAAGTTGAACCACTGCCAGCGGTGGAGGTATGACCACCCACACCACTGCCACCTGCTGCGCTGGTACCTCGTGGTGGAGGTGTACTATCAGGTACTTGTCTTTTACGTTCGAAATATTCCACAATCTTTGCAATTTGTGCCGATCTTGTACTGGTGGGGTAGGCAAATGAACGATCATCCCATAGCAGGGAATCCGAACCGGCTAAACTGCTGATGTCATCGGAACTATCGGTGTATATAGAGGAGGTGCGATTTTTACAATATAACAATTGATTGGTAGCAAAGGGACTGCGTTGCATCAGTGAATTTATTTCAGAATCCAAAGCTAATCTATTTATTAAACCAGCAGTGGCTGTAAAGTTAGGATCGTAATTATTGCCTCCCAACAGATGATGGTGACAAGTGTAGCGTCGATGACTGCGTGCTGCATCCGGTAATTCCAAATCATCTAAGGATCTTAAAGCCGCAGCACTCGAGGAAGTATTAATGCCACCAGCTGCTGCACTACTGGTAGGTTCATCTATAAGCAGCACAGAGGAGGAGGTGGAAGAGGAATCGTTAAGCAGCTGCTGATGTTGACCGCTTTGTGATGCGGAGCCGTAATAGCAACAGCGGCATAGACTGGCCAATTTATCACTGAAATACAACGAAAAAAAATTGTTAATCTTTTTTGCTTAATCTTTAACTGGCATTGAACTAGAATTGTATTAAAACTGATCTAGAACTGAGGTAGAACTGAATTAGAACTGAACTAAACTAGAACTGAATTAGAACTAAACTAAACTAAACTAGAATTGAACTAGATCTAGAACTGCACTACATATGAACTAGAATTGAACTAGAACTGAATAAGAATTGTACTAGAGCAGAACTAGAACTGAGCTAAATCAGAGCAAGAGCTAGAATTGAACTAGAACTAAACCAGAATTGTACAAGAACTAGAACTGGGATTAAACTATATATTATATAAATGACACTTAAAGGTTACTTACCTCAATTCACCATTGGCACCCACTTCCAACATCAGCTGAGACTTGAGTTGTTCAAAACAACAATTACTGCCACCGCAACCCAAACCCAGCGACGATACTCCGGCACCATTGAACTGACGATATGTTGTAGCAGCATCGGATTCCTCATTGAAACAGGAATAAAATCCACTCTCTATAGAATCACGCCGCGTTAATGAACTTTTAGTGGGTAGAAAATCGCTCGGTTTCAGTTCGTTCAAATCAAATTCCGTACAAGATGACATGGAAGCAGGTGTGGCTGCCAAAGTTGCTGAAGTTTGTGGTGGTGGCGTTGGAGGCGAAGGTGTTGAGGCTGTTAGAGGAACATCTTTGGATGATTTCAAGCCTTCCTCACATCCATCTTCGGAGGAATTGCAATCCTCTATATTTACATTAGCTGCTGAAGAAGAAGTTGTTAAAGCAGTTGCATCTTCCAGTTTACTACTGCCACTTGTGCCACGGAACAGTGGATGGGTGTACAGAGAGTTGGCTCGATACTTTCGTGCCACTGGGGCGGGAGTGGGTCTCTCGGCAGAATCATCACTACTCGATTCGGCATCAGCACAATTGCCACCACCATCTGCATCCTGTTCGGCATCTGACTCATCCACACAATCATCATCTTCATCGGCCAATGTACAACGTGGCAGATTTAGTGTCGGCGACAGTTTCATCTCAATAGCACTTAGTTTTCGTGTTAATTGTGGTGATATTGGTAGACTCTTTGGTTCATTGGGCGTGGTTACCACAGTTTTGCCATCTTCTCCTATAATGGTCTTCTGCTGCAAAGCTACCAACTCCTTGAAGAAAGGAGCACATATTTCAAAACAAGAACTAAACAAGTCCCCACCTCCAGCTGCGTAGATTTTGGGATTTGCTCCCAAAATCTTTTTCACGCCCTTCAAATGAGCCATAGCTGTGAAAGGGTTGGATTTAACACCATTATTATCAGTCCTTATGGGTTTGTATTGGGGATCTTTGAGGCACATGGTTTCGGCTACTTTGCGTAGCGTTAAAACTGGTGGCGGGGATTCACGGGTTGGCAAGGTGTCTGCAGTTACAATGATGGTGCTTGTAAAACCACCCACCGGTGGTGGAGTTGGGGAATGCGTAGAGGATCTTTGTCGCTGCATTTGATGGCATCTCGCCTTATCGCTGGGCGTTGTGTGCAATGGAAAGTGTATAATGTTTTCACTCAGCGAACGACGATGTTGCTGTTGTATTAATAACTCAGCAGCAGCCATATTTTCGTATTTTTTCGTTGCTCTCTTAACACGATTTTTAATTATACGGTTTTCATCAATTTCACTAAATCCCCCGTTTGGTATAGAATTGCTACGATTTTCCGACTCGGGAAACAGGAAACCATTTTCACTGACTTCTCTTAAGTGTCTTGGTGTTATGTGACCAGCAGGCGCCGTACTAATAGCCGATGTTAAAGGGGTGTTTATTAAGGCTTTCTTAATGGCCAAATGACGGGCACAGCCATTTTTGTGATTTAAAGCTTGACAGAAATTTTCCGAATCACTGCCATTAGGCGAGCAGGTAATTTCCAATGAACTCAAAGGGCTAGAACTGGCACTAATAGTGGAGCTAGATGAACCATTGCAACCCATGGGATCATGTTCATATTTTTCCAAAAGCGAAGTCAATTTCTTGACGGCATCGTGAAACGTAGGTCTACTCTTTGGATCAAACTATAGAGACAAAATTGATCAGTTTAAAGAAATTTTTCAAAATTATTCAAAAACTTACTATGCAACAGTAGAAAGCCAGTCTTAAAAATGCAGGTGGTGTATCCATGGGACACAAATCAACAAATGCCAGATAATCAAAACCAAACGAATCGGTTCTAGGCATTATATCGGGATCTGCCTCTATACGTGCTATAATCTCGCAAGAGATAATGCCGAAGGAAAACACATCGCTGCGTTCATCATAGAAGAGATGATTTAAACATTCTGGACTAACCCAATAAGGTGAACCCACATATTCCAAACGAGTCTTTTGTCTATTCAAATAAAAAGACAAAATTAATTTTTAGCAATTCATTAAGTAAATGAGACAAACTTAAACTTACTTTTTATCGGGTATTTTGGCTGCCAAACCAAAATCTCCCACTACCGTCTCAAAACGTCCATCTGGTAAATTTCTTACTAACACATTCTGCAAGAGTGAAATTAGAAGGTTGAACATTTATTTAGATGTATTTGATTTTGATTACTTTATTTGAACTTACTTTACTGGTTAAATCTCTGTGAAAGATGCCTGCACCGTGTAAATACTCCATACCTTTAGCTACACCCAATGCCAGTCTTAATTTTGCAGCAGCACTCAATGCTACTTCTTTGTTGGCCAATAACTGTTCCAAAGAACCACCATTTATGTATTCTGTTAAGGCATGTAATTGTCCCTCATGTACGCAAACACCCATAAAACTAGAAGAAAGAAAATATGAAAAAAAGTTAGAAAAATATCTTAATATGTATATATTCAACAAGTCTAGTTTTTTAAAGTTCGGATTATTTTCCCTATAACATTTTTGAATTACTTCGATATCGAAATTTATAAAATATCGATAAATTCAAAAATTTTACAACACCTCAATATTCATTCAATTTTTTCCAATTATTTATTCTCTTTGTAAAAGTGTATTAAAAATTATGATATAAAATTTGGTATTTTTGCTTAAGAGTTATTGTTCCACATATAAACAGTTTGAAAAAAAAACAGGAAATAATGCCAAAAATATCTTTTGGTCATGTTTTTAGGAGTGAATGTTGTTAAACAATAAATTAAAATAAATTTGTCATGTCAATTTATAAAAGTAATGATGAGCAGACACCATAAACTAAATGTACCTACGATTATCGTTCATTATACGATAGTCATATAAAAATCGGTTCGCTTATCTTTAACACTGAGTAAATCACTGTTTTGACAATAAATAAAGATAAACGGAAAGTTGAGAACTTTTTACGTGTTTGTTGTATAAATATTCCCGTGTTGTCACGGGATTACAATAAATTTTCAAACATTCTCGTTAATGGCGGAAAAATGTTTTTCTCTTAAATTGTAAAGTATATACCAAAGTCTGGTCTACATTTTCTATGTTCAGTCTATTACACAGTCCAACAAAATTAAAAAAAAAAAAAACTAGAAACCCAGAGACTAAAGTACACTTTTCTAAAGGCTTGAGCTGCGTTGCATCCTCTCAATTTTGGCCATATTTGAAACGTTATAACAGTACGAAAGCATATCTGTTTGTGAATTTTGTAATGTCTTCTTTTCCTGGAAAACCAATTTATAGCTTGAAACCTTTAGGTTAATATATCTCGAAAAAGACAGAAGATATAACAGAGATTAAACTATTATTTTAATGTCTGCAGATGTGATGAAAATTTTGACGTCGGATTTGGATTCAGTGCAGCTAATCTAAGTTAAAAATGTGTTGGTCAGTGTCATTCATTCTACAGTATAGTATAATGTAAAGTCTATTCCATAGTTAAGTCTAGACTAGCCCCTAGTCTGTTTAATAGTCTAGTCTATAGTTTAATCTATAATTTTATCCATAGTATAATCTATAGTCCGGACTATAGTCTAGTATATCTAATCTACTGTCTATTCTATAGTCTAGTCTATAGTCTAGTCTATAAATTAGTCTATAGTCTAGTCTATAGTCTAATCAATAGTCTAGTCTATAGTCTAGCCTATAGTCTAGTCTATAGCCTAGCCTATATTCTAGTCTATAGTCTAGTCTATAGTCTAGTCTATAGTCTAGTATATAGTCTAGTCTATAGTCTAGTCTATAGTCTAGCCTATAGTCTAGTCTATAGCCTAGCCTATATTCTAGTCTATAGTCTAGTCTATAGTCTAGTCCATAGTCTAGTATATAGTCTATAGTCTAGTCTATAGTCTAGCCTATAGTCTAGTCTATAGCCTAGCCTATATTCTAGTCTATAGTCTAGTCTATAGTCTAGTCTATAGTCTAGTATATAGTCTAGTCTATAGTCTAGTCTATAGTCTAGTCCATAGTCTAGTCTATAGTCTAGTCTATAGTCTAGTCCATAGTCTAGTCTATAGTCTAGTCTATAGTCTAGTCTATAGTCTAGTCTATAGTCTAGTCTATATTCTAGTCTATAGTCTAGTCTATAGTCTAGTCTATAGTCTAGTCTATAGTCTAGTCTATAGTCTAGTCTATAGTCTAGTCTATAGTCTAGTCTATAGTCTAGTCTATAGTCTAGTCTATAGTCTAGTCTATAGTCTAGTCTATAGTCTAGTCTATAGTCTAGTCTATAGTCTAGTCTATAGTCTAGTCTATAGTCTAGTCTATAGTCTAGTCTATAGTCTAGTCTATAGTCTAGTCTATAGTCTAGTCTATAGTCTATAGTCTAGTCTATAGTCTAGTCTATAGTCTAGTCTATAGTCTAGTCTATAGTCTAGTCTATAGTCTAGTCTATAGTCTAGTCTATAGTCTAGTCTATAGTCTAGTCTATAGTCTAGTCTATAGTCTAGTCTATAGTCTAGTCTATAGTCTAGTCTATAGTCTAGTCTATAGTCTAGTCTATAGTCTAGTCTATAGTCTAGACTATAGTCTAGTCTATAGTCTAGTCTATAGTCTAGTCTATAGTCTAGTCATAGTCTAGTCTATAGTCTAGTCTATAGTCTAGTCTAGTCTATAGTCTAGTTAGTCTATAGTCTAGTCTATAGTCTAGTCTATAGTCTAGTCTATAGTCTAGTCCATAGTCTAGTCTACAGTCTAATCTATAGTCTTGTCTATAGTCTAGTCTATAGTCTAGTCTATAGTCTAGTCTATAGTCTAGTCTATAGTCTAGTCTATAGTCTAGTCTATAGTCTAGTCTATAGTCTAGTCTATAGTCTAGTCTATAGTCTAGTCTATAGTCTAGTCTATAGTCTAGTCTATAGTCTAGTCTATAGTCTAGTCTATAGTCTAGTCTATAGTCTAGTCTATAGTCTAGTCTATAGTCTAGTCTATAGTCTAGTCTATAGTCTAGTCTATAGTCTAGTCTATAGTCTAGTCTATAGTCTAGTCTATAGTCTAGTCTATAGTCTAGTCTATAGTCTAGTCTATAGTCTAGTCTATAGTCTAGTCTATAGTCTAGTCTATAGTCTAGTCTATAGTCTAGTCTATAGTCTAGTCTATAGTCTATAGTCTAGTCTATAGTCTCTAGTCTAGTCTACAGTCTAGTCTATATAGTCTAGTCTATAGTCTAGTCTACTCTATAGTCTAGTCTACTCTAGTCTAGTCTACTCTATAGTCTAGTCTATAGTCTAGTATAGTCTAGTCTAGTCTATAGTCTAGTCTATGGTCTAGTCTATAGTCTAGTCTATAGTCTAGTCTATAGTCTAGTCTATAGTCTAGTCTATAGTCTAGTCTATAGTCTAGTCTATAGTCTAGTCTATAGTCTAGTCTATAGTCTAGTCTATAGTCTAGTCTATAGTCTAGTCTATAGTCTAGTCTATAGTCTAGTCTATAGTCTAGTCTATAGTCTAGTCTATAGTCTAGTCTATAGTCTAGTCTATAGTCTAGTCTAGTCTATAGTCTAGTCTATAGTCTAGTCTATAGTCTAGTCTATAGTCTAGTCTAGTCTATAGTCTATAGTCTAGTCTATAGTCTAGTCAATAGTCTAGTCTATAGTCTAGTCTATAGTCTAGTCCAGCGGTTCCCACCGTTTTTTACTTCGCGGACCCCTTGAGGAATTTATTTAATTTCACGGACCCCCATACATATTTGATATCTTATTGTTATAAATAATTGTTCATCCGAAAATTGTCTTAGTCCTGGTCCATAAACCCTATACAATATTCCCGTACATTGAGAATATTTAGTATTTCGGAGATGTTTTCAATTGCATGGTTTTAAATATAGAATGACTTCTAACATGATGTTTAATTTTATGATCGTGAGAGCTTTCATGTTCATTTCTCGTCAAGGTAGCGAAAAGGTTTCTTTATCAAGTATTGTCGACATGTGCTTAAAGAGTCATGTTTCTAATTTTTTTTGCGTAGGAGTGAGCTGAGTATGTAAGCTAAGTTTTCGGGAAAATATGTGAAAGTTAGACTTCTTCGATGCTGTTGCGGAATGCGTTACCCACATAAAATATGACCTGAACTCTTTGCGAATGTACTGTGAATTTGGATCTTAAATTTGAATTTTAAAATACCTACGAATTATTTTACTGCCTGGTTTTGACTATTTACGCAAAACGCTATGAATTTTCTGATGTTGATTTAATAATATTGAACAACAAAATGAAGTTAAAATCTGTGTATCACGTCGGAATGGAATATTTATATTTAAAATTAACTAGATTAACACTTTTGCTTACAATTTAAAAAATATTATGAAATGTGACCTAACTTCATATTCCGGGATACCAATATCAGTATTTAATTCTAAGGCAAATCATTATCCGTCTGATATAAAAACATTTATTTCGATACATATACATTTATAAAAATTACAAATCACGTAATACTTTACTTTATAAAAGTGAAACAATAAATTTGTATGGCCTAGCTTCATCCTGATAAACGACCGAAACAATAAAATTCAAAAAGTCATCAACAAATCTGGGATTATTGAATAAAAATTGTGTATTTTAGTATTTATGAAAAATTTGGAGATATTTTTAATATTTTCTAACATATAGAGAATACTTTTTATTCATGATTATTTTCGTTCGTCTTCGCGGACCCCCTAGGATTTTGCTACGGACCACTAGGGGTCCGCGGACCCCCTTTTGGGAACCGTTGGTCTAGTCTATAGTCTAGTCTATAGTCTAGTCTACAGTTTAGTCTATAGTATAGTCTATAGTATAGTCTATAGTCTAGTCTATAGTCTAGTCCATATTCTAGTCTATAGTCTAGTCTATAGTCTAGTCTATATTCTAGTCTATAGTCTAGTCTTTATTTTGGCAGAACTCGCTAAATGAGCAACTCAGTTCTCTTCAGAAGCACCTTAAAAATTATAAATATTCCTCAAGACCATTTAAAAGACATACAAAACGTAATCATGTAATCATTTTTTATAAGTTCTGATTAACGTAGTATAATTTAATTTATTTTGTTTTAACGTTTTTATGATTTCAATAAACTTTGTTTTCATTCTAGACACGTTTTCTCAAAGCAATTAAACTTATTGTGGTTAATAATGGAAAAAAGTGATATTTTGTAACATTTTTTATTGTCAATGGGCATATAAATTATGGCATTTTCGGTATTTTTTTGTTTTACATATTTTTGGCAAACCTATAAATAATTCGAAAAAGGTGTTACTTGAGTTTATGCTCAAGTACAAGGATAAATAATTATTTTGCAGAAAATATTGAATCATTAATTAAAATAAAAAGCAATTGCTGCGAGCGCATTAAATCGCCATATACTACGTATAATTAATAACTTTTTCGCCGT